GACTGTCCTTTTTCTTGTCTCTCTGAAAGACTAAAACACTGGGAATTAAGTTATGGCATGAGCCATAGATCTTTTTTCCAAGCTTGGGAGCAGGGATAAGTTCGATTTTAGTATTACTATGCTTATTTGTTTGCTTAAATAAGGGAGACTGGAGCACGCAGACAGGCAGGAGACAGTGATGCACGTCTAAATATTACTGTTTCTTTGAGCCTCTGTAACTTGTCACGAAACAACCCAAAGCAGCGTTCTTCTTTCCAGAGAGCTAGCGCACCATCCCGTAGTGGCAACCTTCCAGGAGCACAGGCGCAGCGAGTGAGTAACCAGGCATCCTCCAGGCTTGAAAGCTTTCTCGACAGGGAGCTGTTGGGATCTGTTGAGCTACTCTAAAATCCGTATTTTAGATCAGTCGTTGCGCATGTGTGCAGGCTGGAAAAGGGGAATGGCTTGACTTGGAGGGTAGTTGTCTTTTGACGTCTGCAAGAGCAGAGCCCGTGGAGCGGTGTGGGGTTGAAACTGAGTTTTGCTATCCTCTGCTTGCCAGATACTAATTAGTATTGGATCAAGCCGTGGATGTTGGGAAATGAGCAATGAGCCCTGGCACTCCTTCTAAGCCTCAAGTCTTGTTTAAAGGATTTTGACGCGGCGAAGCAGGGTGAGTGTGTGACAACGAGCCTGCGGAGATGCGTGCTCCCTGCAGCCGTGCCCTGGGGCAGAGACAGGGGCGAGCGCTGAGGTCGGGGGTCTCGGGATATTCGGCCGGAGGGTCTGCTGTGCAGGGGACAGCAGGCTCATAAGGTGCCCGCGTAGTGGTTCGCTTTGACGTTTGGTGTTCAGAGTCGCTAATATCTTTTAAGAAGAGATATGTGGGGCTCTCTCTTCATCACCCAAGCGCTGATGTTCCCGGCGGTGCTGTGGGGCGGCAGGAGGTCCAGGTCCTCTTCTGGGGGCTGATCCGGCGCAGGTGAAGGGGGTTGCTGTCGGTGGGGCGGTTGACCTGTGGTGTGGGCGTCCTCAATGGGGAGAAGCCTGTTTGTCTTCCCACAGGCTGCTCTGGATGTGTTTAATCACCTTTTCTTCAGATTGCTTCCTGTTGCTAAAGTCTTCCTGTCTGGAGCAGAGTGTTCTTAAACTTAAAAATGCTTAAATGTAAATACTTGAACTCTTTTCTGATGAGATTTTCACTCTGAAATCTCTGTGGGATCATATCTAAGTTTTGCTGTGATTTGCTTATTTCCGTAGTGTTAAATGCCTTCTCTACGCTAGACTTGTGAAGAGCCTGCCTTTTACAGGCTGGCTGACACCAAACCCTCATCCTCTACCAAAAAAAAAAAAATACTTACCCAAATCTAGCATTTACAAGCATGGCGGCTCAGAGCAGGAGGTGATCAGCACTGCTTGGGTGCTCCTACCAAGAGCAGAGCATCCTCCTCCAGCGTCCAGGGCGCTCCTGAGGCACCCGCAGGCTCTGCAGAATTGCCTTATGGAATAGGGATGGAAGAAAATTTAATTAAAAAAAACCAAAACAAAACATAACAACCCACTTGTGGTTTGGCTGTGGGCAGTGCTTTCTCCAAATAACAAGTTGAAGAGCAGCGGAGCAGGAGCCTCACTCTCCGTGTCGGCTCTGCTGTGGGCTGGACTGGAAACAAAATGCTACGTAGCAAACATCTCCGTGCAGCAAAGGTGCTTTTTTTAAAATAATACAGCCTGTTGGTTATGTTGCTTGCTTGCAAATCTCTTTGCTTTCGGACGAGAGCTTAGGGGAAACCCTTTCTGAACACAAAGCTTCAAAGGGAGGGAACCCGCCGTGAGCCCACGCGGTAGCTGAGCGTGCTTGGGTCTTGCAGCAAGATGTTTGCTGCCGCGTGAATTGTGTGTTGGGAAGGGAAGGGCTGGTACATGCCCGCCTCTGCATCCCCAGCCCTGCCGAGGAGATCTGGCCGAGCCGCGAGGTGGTTCCCGCGGGATGGAGGAAAGACGCAGAGACGTTTGCTTATCGTCAGCGAGACCCACCTTCCCGGGCCAGGAAGGGTCTGCAACTGCGGCTTTGAAATCCAAACAAGTAAACATTTCGTGTTCCAGAGATGTTGGTATTTAAAGAGAGAAAACTACTTCCAGAGGAAATGTTTGTTTGTGGACTGTCCCTCCTGTTTACCTGCGGCAGATAAGAGCTGCTCTTCAGCTGTGCCCTCCCTGCAGTCATCGTTTCAAGAGCCTCAATTCTTTCTATTTTTAAGAGCGACGTGCTTCCAGTATGCGTTTAGATAATGATTCTTACAAATGTAATTATTCAAAACAAACACAGGAGGAAGCAACTACAAAGCAGACTGCGTTGGCAGCTGGCGCAAAAGGGAGCTCGCTATTTTCCTGTGTCCGTGGGGGGACGGTCTTGCAACGTGCCCATCGCGCTCGGTGCGCGCCGGGGCAGCGGGAGCTTTGCCCTGGGAGTTGGCCGTCGTGGGCTCGGGGTGATGTGCGCTTGGCTGAACGTAGCTTGTTGTCCTCTGCGCTGCCTTGTAGCGTCTCTAGGAGGTTTTGGAGGGCTCTTGGTAGCGTGAATTGGCTGCCTGGTGGCCCTGCAGACGGAGCTGTGTGTTGCGAACGGGGCCAGCAGCTTCCACGCGGGCTAGCGAGGGATCACGGGAGGAACAGAAACGGCACGAAGAGCTGCGGGAGCGAGTCACTGGGTGCTGCATCCACAAACCCATCGCGCCTTCCAAACCTCTCCTGAGCCCAACCGCAGATGTTTCTGGTTTAGGGGAGAAGGAAATGCAGCGCTGCAGGTTTTGTCGCTGCCCCCTCCTCGAGGGTGGTGGTGGGAGCCAGCAGGATGCTGTGTGAATCGGCCGTAGCCTTTCATTTAACTGGGATTTTACAGCTTTCTCGCAGAGCCTGTTTGGTGATAATCTTGCACGAACAAACTCCTGCAAGACTTCTGGGGAAACAAGGTGACATAATGCCCAACTCAACAGCGTGATGGAGAATTACCCTTGGGTGCTCTCGTTGCCTTGGTTGGCGTATGCCAAGCTGTCCTGACTTCTCCTGTGCGAAGCACCAGAGGAGGAGAATGGATGCAGTGTGGTTTTCTGCACATCTGCATCTCTGTAGCTCAGAGCCTTGACACATCTGGGTTTCTTTGGCTTGCCATGTCCTCGGTGCATCAGGTGCCCGCAGAAAGCTGCTGTTTCAGTGGCCTCCGCCTCACCGTTGGGTTTGGAGAAACCCAGAGCAGCTCACCGAGGGGAGAGGCATGAGGCTTTAAACCTGGCTTCTGCAGGAGACCAGGCTAAAATGGGCCCTGCAGCTTCTCCCCAAAACTGGCTGGTGGGGCTAAGTCCAAATGAGGAGGTTTGAAAAGGTTCAGAGAGCCTGTCCCAAATCTGGTGCAGCTCCGAATCATTCCGATGGGAGCACAGACACTGTGGGTCACCATCCCGGCTTTTACTAAAGACCTCCCTGCAAAAAGAAAAACAACCCAAACCCCCCCCAAAAAACCCAAAACCCCCCAAAAAACCCTAAAATTGAAAACAAAACAAACCCTGTAAACCCAGGAAGTTTGCATTGCTTGGGAAACAAATTCAGTGAAGGTCTCTAATGCTGCTTTGTTTTAACCACAGCTTTAAGGATAATATTAAGCTTTTGCATTAAATGCAGGGGAAGAGTACTTTGGAAAGCTTTTCTCCTTCAAGCACTCGGTTATTTTGGCAATCGGGATGAGTTAAATTAAAATTGTTCAATGCAATAATATGTAGGAGGGTGACATCTTGAAATGTTGCTTAATTTTAAGTATGTGTTTTGAACAAATGTTTGTATGCCGAGGCTTGGGCTGGTGGGATTGAGAGGCATATTGGATTATATGCTATTTGCTCTGTGTAAGCAGTGGCAGTTTATTGCTGCAGATGCATGTGATGCAACGTGCAAAGATTAGTTCTATCCTCTAAAGCATGATTATTTTGGGTCTTCTTTATACCGTAAATAGATATTCCTCTCATGTGATTTCCATCTTTTTGTGTCAACAGCCCAAGCTAAAGTTGAAATAAACATTGCATCAACTTAATAGCACAGAATCTGAAGAAATCTGCTCTCTGTTATGGGGATTGTTTGGAAGCCTTTTTGTTTTACATTTTTCCCATGTGCAGTGCAAAGATCTTGTGAACCCTGAAGCCTGCTCTGTTTCACTGGACCCTTCTTGTGCAGGTCAATGTAGTTGATCAGCACTGATGAGTCCCATCTGGAGCAAACCATCAGCGTGGCTCATCGTGTTTAAATATCCTCTTTTTTAGTTCATGATGAGGATATGTGACATCTTTCAGGGACATTTAGAAGTGAGCAGCTGTTAAAATTTGTTGTGGCCATGCAATTTTTGACTCTCAAGTAGCAGATTTCTTCCAGTTGCAGTTGCAGAGAAGGATGCTGTAACACAGCAAGCCATCGCAGGCTGTCTGGGCTTTTGGCATGGCCTGGTAAGAGGAAGGTTGCCTGGTTGTGTGCATCCTCATACAGTTCGGCTCAATGATCTTAAAGGTCTTTTCCGACCTAAATGATTCTATGATTCTCATCTGCCCTGCTCCCACAGCCAGTGCTGTCAGAGGGGAACAGGAGCTTGGAGGAAGAGAGGACCTCAGAACAGCCCTGTGGAGCAAGACCTCCTGCCATCTCCGCCTCTCTCCTGAATCTTCTTTCTATTTTTCAATCATTTGCCCTTGTCAGGCTGCTGACCTAGTACCAGGGTATTTAGTAGTTTGGAGTCAGCATCATCCGAATGGTGGAAGGTGCATGGGCAAATGTCAGTAGAGATGTTTCTATCGAAGCAAACCTTGGCAAAATGAATGATTTGTTTGGTCTTAATGACTTTGTAGGTTGGAGTTGGCAGCACAAGGTGGTATGACTGGGGATCATGGCGTGTCTGTGCTTGTGTCTCGGTTTGAATAGCTTAATGCAGACTTAAATATTGGAAAGCTCTTGATTGAGACCTTTTTCACCTCTCTTACAGCATCATCATGACAACAGAGAAGAGCTTAGCGGTGGACGCCGACGATTCGGAGCAGCAGCAAGCCAAGGAGGAGGGAGCTGCTGAAACACAAAAGCAAGAGGCTTCCCTAGAGCAAGGAGCTCAGCAGACGTCGGACGGACAGCCTGCAGTGGGGCAGAAGCAGACGGCCTCCAACGGCGATACACCCACGCAAGAGGAGCAGAGCAAGAAGGAGCGCCGTACCTCCGAGGGCCGGGGTCTCTCCCGCCTGTTCTCATCCTTTCTCAGGAGGCCCAAGTCTCAGGTGTCCGAAGAGGACAAAGACACTGATGTTGCTAAAGAGGCAGGCGGTGACCAGAAAGACCCGGGACTAGGAGCCAGCCCTGATGAAGACATCCTGGTGAAAGCCCCAATTGCAGCTCCTGAGCCTGAGCTCAAAACTGATCCATCATTAGATCTCCATTCCTTAAGCAGTGCAGAAACACAGGTAACACCCTGCTCCGTGTGGCGTGCCGCCTTCTGTTCTTGCAAACATGTCTCTTTAGCCAAAATGATAAAAACTTCTTATCTTAGGATGGTAAGCTTGATCAGAAAAACTCATGAGATACTAAAAAGGATCTTAGTAGCTCCCTGTGTTGCATCGTGTACTTCCCACTCTTGCATTCTTGTATCAGACTGTCCTGCAAAGTACCTGCTCCTGAAATTGTGCTCATACTTCACAGCATAGCTTAAAATGCCCTGTGCTGGCTTTTTACTCTGCTGAGGCATGGGAAGTCACATCAGAACTAGAGTTTGAATTTGTAAGTCACGACGGAGCGGTTGCTTGTCAGGATGCCCTGGGTGCGTACAGAATAAAGGCAGGTCAGTGGCGTGAGGTGGGGATTGCAAGAGGACGCGGATTTGGGAAAGGGTTTCATCAAGGAGCACAAGCATGGCGTTTCAGGACTTGGTCATCAGTCCGGGCTGGTGCTGAGCCTGCCAAATACAAATACTTTTTGCTTATGCATCATGTAGACAGGGATTTCTGCACAGCACGTGGGCTGAGCCCAGCTCCTAGTGTCCGTCTGATGTCTACTTTTTACAGCCAGGGTAACTTTTCAAGCAAAAGCCAAAGTTTTTAAAGCATAGTAGAAACTGAGGCAGACGCACCCACAGGGAGACATTCACAAAACCGCAGCTGGTTATTGATTTGGGGGTATTGGATGCCATCTCTTACTCCTTGGCGGGTGTCTTGGGTAGTTGCAGCTCTGCCATTGCTAGTGCAGCTTCCTGGAGTTAGAAAAAGGCAAGTGCCCCTTCTCCTGAAATGTGGATTTCTTAAAACCCAACCAACCTGCCTGTGTTTCTGGAGTCATACCACCTTAGTGGTAAAATCTGGATTACTTACTCTGCTGCCTTAATGTTTTCAGGGGGCTCCAGAGAGGTGTTACGTGTCTGCGAACTCTAGGTTTCAACAGACTTTTTCAGCAATACTTTACAAGTTAGAGCGTTGCCAGCTGTAGGCAATACTTGTAAATTCACCTCCTTAAAATTACAAAGGTGTAGAGAAGGTAGTAGGTAGCACCTTTTTCTTTCTTTTCCCAAATTTCTGAGCCTGTGAAAACCACGGGATGATCTCTATGCCGTGTTTTGTACCTCCGAGTGTTGGGATTAGCAGAATGGGGAGGAGCTGGAAATTTTCATGCAATTTCAGCCCAGAAATTGTGTTTTCAAGAGGAAATGCATGATTTCTTTCTCTGTTTAACTTTGATTTGCTGTTTCTGAGCGCATGTGAGTGTGCACACACAGCCTTCCTTCACCATGGGCTGTTTGTTTCAGACGAAGCCTTTTTTTTTTTTTTTTAGTTCTTATTTTAGATCAACAGCAGTGGCTTTTTGAACTGTGACACTCGGCAGATATTTCTGCTGTGAAAGCATTTGCGAGGTGCTGCCTGTTTGATAAATGCTGACCGACGGGCATTACGAGCTTTGACTGATTCCCTGCTCCCGATTGTCCCAGCCCTGCTGGAACAGAAGTCAGCAGCTTGTGGACGTTATTTAGATTTAAAATACCTCCGTGCAGTTGTGCCTGGGTGTGATTTCATGAGATGCAATGGGCTGAAAAGACAGGGTTTTGCTCTTCCTCTGCTGCAGCTGCGTGCTCCTGCTGCACCGAGCCGCTTCCAGCACTTGCCGGAGCCTGCCATGAACTCATTTAACCTGCTGAAATGGCAGCGGGGAAAAAAAAACAGCTTCCTTCTTCCTCCTGTCCCCACACTGCATCTCCTCCCGCTATTTTAGTGAATTAAACTGGCTCGCAAAGTGCTTCGCTCTTGGGCAGCGTGGTATGAAGGGCTGCCTTCCCTGTTTGGTGGCAGGGAGCTGCTCGGTCAGCTCAGCCAGCCGTGAAGCCTCGGCGCTGGCCCCCCGTTTCGTACCAGTGCTGCCATACCGGTCGCCCAGGGCAGCAGTGGGAGCACGGGGACCCTTGCGGTGAGCGTCCGGCCTAGGAGGGAAAACACTAGTCCAAAAGGTGCTGTCATTGTGACCGTGAAGATTTGCATGATGTCATCTGCCCTCGTTTCTCTAATCGACCCTTTTTCCTTTTTTATTATGTCCTTCATTAAATGAAGACTTGAGAATTACTTGAAGGGCTTTAAAAATAACCATCGTTACCTTGCTCACCCAAACCGCTGCTCCTGGTCCTGGGTTACATGTTTAAGTCAGATCCCAAATTTTGGGGTGAGAACCCAGCCCTATAGTGCACCTATGCAATGCTTGTTTCATGTGATGGTTTTTTTGCTTGACGTGTCTAAATGGCAACTCGGGTGATGTGGGAATTTCAGCCTGCGCAGGAGGAGAGGAGGGACGACCAGGAGCCGGAGAGCAGAGCCCTCGGGGGTAAGGAAGGAGGGGAGGCGAAGGAGGAGTGCGCCAAGCCAGAGCCGAAACAAGAGAGTCCGGAGACCAAAGCAGACAAGGATTTGAAAGCCACCCAGAAAGCGGTAAAAAGACACAGAAACATGTACTGCAAAGTTGTCTTGCTGGATGACACCATTTTTGAGTGTGCCATGGATGTAAGTACTTTTGGGATTTGTTTGTGCTTCTCTTTTTCCTTCTCCCTTCTCCTCCCCTTGAAAAATCACCACAAACGCTATTTGATAGGGGCCTGATTTGCTGTCAGTGAATTACATGAGAGGCTTTACTGCAGAACAATCTTGCTGCAAGCTGTAACAACTTATTTAGTGTGTTGTAAAAATCTCTGGGTGCCTAGGAATCTTTTTGTTTTATTGTTCTACAATTTCCAGAGTGCCTTGCTTTGTAAAGGTGGGGGGAAGTTAAAAAAAAAAGTTATTTTAGTTGCTGTTCATCTCTCTCATTTGTATCCCAGACTAGAGTTTAGGTTTTTGTGTTAGGTTGGGATTGTCTAAATATCTTCTGCCCCTTTCCTTGGAATAAAATGGGTTGTCAAGTTGATTTGCACTTTTCTGTTCACCCAAGGTACATTTGCCTATCAGGTTGCTGGCTAACATAACTCCTGGAGCTTGGATGTAAAGAAAAACATGCTGCCTTTAGCCTGCAGTTGAATGTATTTTCAGTAAAAAATTTAAAATTATTATGTTGACTTACAGCACTGCGAACCCCTTCATCTGAGAGCTTTTCTTCTGCTTTATTTTGTGCATTCTCTCACAGGGCTGTCTTGCTGTCAGGGCAATAAAAAGCTCGCAGAAATCCCCATTTCAGTATTGAAGCACTTGTCTGGAATATTAATAATCCAGTACTTCCCATTTGAGCGTGCTTCCATCAGCTTGTTTTCCCCAGTCCCGCTGGCTAAATGGGCCAGGAGAGGGTATCTGGGCACAGGCCTCCTTGTGAAAGCTGTTGCCTTGGGTGATCCTGGGCAAGTAGGTCAGTGCCGGCCGTTTGTGTAACGGCGTCGCTGCTGTTACTGCCCGGGATCAGCTCGGAGCGTCACCGCCCCGATCGCCTTCCACCTGCAGCCAGCCTTTCCCAGGGATTTTGCGTGCAGCCCCGGAAAAGAAACTCTTCCCCGAAATGTTGGTCGGCTTGCTGTGGCTTTTGCGCAGGAGTTTGGTGCAGCAGCACCCGCAAACACCGGCACGGACACTGGCGGTGGGAGAGCGGTGGTGGTGTGGTTGGTCCTGACTTGAGCAGGGTGTTAGAAGTCTTTTTCTGTAGGTCCAGAGAGCGGTGACGAGCACTGCGGAGAGGATTAGGGTGCTGCTCTGTTGGTGGGACCCTCTTGACCTGACAAGTACCCTTGGCGTTAATGCCGATATAATCCTACTCTAATTTTGAGAATTTATTAAAGACTTAATTAAGAAGGAATCGCAAAGGTGTAGACAAAGACCAACACAACTGCCTTTATCCAAGAAGAATAAGTGTTTTCAGGTATCCAGCTGACATCCGTGGAAGGTTTTTAATTCCTGCATATCTTTAAGTGCCAATTCCTTGAGAAATAGCCAGGCTGACACGTGCACTATGTTACCTATAGAGCCGCAACGTATGCACTGAGGACCTTACAGCTGAAGGAGTGGAATAAAGCAAGAGTCTGGTCTTGGATCAGTTGCCATGCAAATACGACTAAAAGGAGAGATGCGGGCACAAGCGATGCATTAGTAAAGCTTATTTTGCCTCAGTGGAACTGCGCTTTCTTTTTAGCGGAGCCTCCAATAGAATTAGCTGCTTTTGGTTACCATAGTTTTGTGCCTCAGGGATGTTTTCCTTCATGCTTTTGGACTAAAAGGGTATCTCTTCCTAGGGCCAGTTCACTTCTGCTGGGTTTTGATTCAAAAAGGAAAAAAACAAACCAGAGGCAGTAGGAATGCTCAGAGTGTGTTTCTGGAGGCAAAAAGTTGTGTGCTAAGCAGCTTTTGGTGCATAACACAAATCTGGAGAAGCTGGGTTTCATCAGCAGATGAAAAGGCCGTGGAAATGATGGTCTTTGTTTCCGTGCTGCTGTTTCTTTTTTGAACCTAATAAGTCAGGTTGCCCCCAAAATGGGAGGTTATAGCAGTGGGTTGTAGCAGCAGTTTCGTACCCGGCGTTGATGGTCCTCTGATCAACACCTGATTGTCTGACAGCCTGGAGCTGGGAGATACCAGTGCAGTAGATGTACTTTGGGAGGGAAAATCCATACAAATCCTTATTGAGTTGTGTTGGGAAGCTCAGTTTCGGGGGGCTTCAGACACGGAGCTGGTGGTAGCAGAAACACCCACAGCTCCTATTGCCTCTCTGAGTTGAATTTTTGTGCCTGATGCTCTCTCCTGTAAGGGGTGCTTGCTCAGGAACAGCCAGGAAATCTGATTTTGAGCTACTCTGGTCTTTCTTCCCTTCTTGAGTGTGTACAGTATGGTTTGATTATGTTGCCTTTCTCCCCTCTCCTGTCAACGAGGGCAGGCAAAAACCAGCCCATCCTACAGAATTTCTTTTGTCTATTTGCAGAAACATGCCAAGGGGCAGGATCTACTTAAAAAAGTCTGCGACCACCTCAATCTCCTGGAAGAAGACTACTTTGGTTTGGCCATATGGGACACGCCGACCTCCAGGGTAAGCAGCTGCTGTTGCGTGTTGTTCCGCACCTGAGTGGGTTCAGCTTTTTCAAAGGATCATCTTCCCTGGGGAGGAGGTGGTGCATAAGCTCTTCTTAAAACTCCTTTTGGTGTCCTTCCCAAAAAAAGGACTAAAAGGGTCATCACAGAGGCAGAAATTGTGAATAAATGACTACGGGAGTGTGGATTTTAGTAAAAAAGCTCTGTGAACTTGTGTCTTCACTGGGAGGAAATTCAGTATATTAGTTTACTGCAAAATGATGCCATTAATTTGTAAAACTACACCTCAGGAAGTTAGGGGAAGATAAGACATTTTTCACTCTAGAAAAGCAGCAGTTTTGGGTTTTTTTAATTGTGATTTTAAGAAGGGGTACACTACTCTTAGGCTGTAGAAGATGAGCCTGAATGTTGACACACTGCAGGGGGACTTGACAGTCCTGGAGCCTGTGTTCATCGAACTGAGCAGGGGTAAAAGCTGGCTGCCCTGGCACTGGCATCATTTTTTGTAACGTTTGGATGGAGCCATCCAGAGCAGTTTTGAATTGAGGCTTTACCCTGTGAAAGAACACGCGTGACTCTTCATACCAGAACTCTTACTCACAAAGTTTCAGTTTAAGGTCTTTGGTTAGTCTCAAGCAGCGTCTTATCTTTTAAACCCTTGGTTGCACTTTAACTCAAGCAATTACTCAAGCTCTGTTTCATGGAGCTAAGCAACAAGTGTGCTAAATTGAAGTCGAGGGCTCACTTTTATGTCCTTGAGACCAGTTACATTGGTCCATGTTCTGACTATTCCCATGCTTCACCTACAGCAGTCACTTACGCGCCAGGGTGCTACGGCTGACAGATATTTATCATTAAATACTTAATAACACCCTGTTGCTGTTTGAGGCAGGCAGAGCTCTGCCTTGGGTTTGTTTTACTGTCTCTTGTGAGTGAAATTTGCTTCTGTGTATATAGCCTGGATTTTTTACTCCAGGAGTTTGTTGTGTTTGCAGAGGGAGGAATAGGTGTACTTTTAGACCCAATTAAGAGCAAAAAAGAATTTAGCTGGAGCAGCTCAACTTCTCACCCTTGTGCTGTGGGTGACTCGGTGCCGCATCTCCCGGACCCCTGGGACTCACTCTTCTCACGTCCAGGCATGCTGGCATTGATTCTTCCTGAAAGCAGAAGCGTGCTGCTCCTTCCCCCCAGCCAGCGAGGGCTAAGGGGCCGTGCAGCTTTTTAACCTTCGGGACTGAAACCAGATAGTTTTGTCAGATTTGTGTCCCAGAGCCAGGAGCTGAGGATGGTAAAGCTGCTGTGCATGGGTTTAGCTCTAGTGAAGAGTAAGCTGCTTGGTGGAAGTCAGGCTTGTTCCTGATGGGGGGAAAACACCATTTTGGGGTTTTTTTGGGAGGAACCTTGCTGGTTATGTTTCACTGAACTTTGAAATCTGAAGCTCCATCTCTCTCGCTGTAACTTGAAGCAAGACCCGACACTGAATTACTGATTCACAGGGAGAAATGATCTTAACAGGAAACCAACAGATGAGCTTCTGCACCTCACCCGCAGCTGTGCGGAGCAGGCAGAGATGCACGTGTGTATTCCTGGACAGGGAGGGGTTGTACGCAGGATTTTCCACCTCGATGTTTAGGGAATAAACCTTCCTGGGGCCGGGTATTTTCCCACACGGGAATAGGAGATGGTGGCAGTGGATAGAGCAGCTGGTTCAGCACTGGAGCTTGATGCTCATGCTGCTCTGAAAGGGAGGATTGTTTCCTACTAATTTATGACACAGTGTTGGATAAAAGTGCCGTTAATTGCTGTACCCATCATTGTGCGCTGCCGGATCAGGCAGGGTGAGTGCCGGGGATGCATGACTGCACCCTGGGCTCGGCTGCCCGAAACCCAGCCGTTACCGCTGCGGTAACCAGCAGTCGTGGCACCAGCACGGATGTGGAGATGCTCTGCTTAAAAAGGTGGCCCTAAAAAGACAGCAAGTGCCATGTCTACCTTTCAAATGGATTTTGTATCCCCAGTTTTATAGGTTAGAGGGCAAGCATATAAAAAGATAAGATTAAATGTAAGTATCGCTCGCTCCCTGCCGTGAAGTTAACGTGTCCTTCTGGTCAAGACAGATTAGCTTGGGGGATTCAGTGGGTTAATTTCTTCACCCTGGGAGACCTGGATGTCCAAATCCTGCTCAAGACTCATGAAAATGAAGATGATGGTTTAATGTAGCCTCTCCAGGGAGGCTGTTAGCACCCCGCCGTCCCCTGCAGTGGGGCAGATCCTGACCTCTGCAAAGGGACAGGCTTGGTCTTGGTGTGCCCGGAGTTGCTCAGACTGTGCTGGAGTTGTTTTTTGAGGCTTAGGTTGCACCACCATCCCACAAAACCCCAAATGACAGAGGGGGGCAAAAAAAGGATATATTTCTATATTTGTAGCTGAGATAACTACTAGAAACTTGAGTCATACTTAAAAGAGACAAAGTTTACGTCACGCTGCTGTAGAAGATTCCAGCCTTCCCCGGTGATGGGATGTTTTCACTCGGATTTCAGTGATTAGGGTGTTCAAAACCATCGCTAATAATAGAAAGTCTTGGCGATCTTTGTTCTGACTAGGGTAAGTATGGAGACAGGGTGCCTGCAATGAACACAGGCATTCTATTTGCCTGTTTTTACAGGTTCTGGAGGAAAAAAAAAAAAGTGTTGCGCAAGTGTCCCTTGTTAGCTGGATGGTGACCATACAGCTGCTACGTGCTTGCAGCCCTAATATGCTGCTTTTTTTTTTCCCCTTCCTGTTCCTCCTGCCTCCCCCACGAGTACCTGGTAGGTGAAGGGTTGGAAATGCACTCACTGAGACCGCAGACTGGAGTAAAAGTTGTGAAAAACGCACCGACTCTCCAGTTTCCATGGCCGCATTCATGTCAGATGTTGTCTTTTTGCCTTATTTTTAGCAATTTGCAGTTTTCTGTGGTGTTTCTGGAACGTCTGTTAAACTGTGAATGTTTTTATCCTCTTACAGACGTGGCTGGATCCTGCCAAAGAAATAAAAAAACAGGTTCATGGTAAGTAGATTGAATTTATCATGTGGGTGTGTGTGGTTTCTCGCCCCTTCCCTAAATAAGCATAGCTTCGGCAGGCCATCCGGGGGGCCCGAGGATGGGTGAGAGTTCAAGTGAGGGTGCCTGGCAGGGATCAGCACAAGTTCAAGCAGTCTGTGCATCCATTCTCCTCTTAAGTACTTGGTGATGCTCTAGATTTAGGAAAAAATTGCCATTTCCTTGGGAAAACGTAGCTTGGGGTGTGCTCGCCCTATGCAAAACCCATGCCGTCCTTGCTACCATGCGACGCTGAAATGGGAGATCTGCTCCCTCTTGGCGGATGGGAAAATAGGTGTCAGTGGGAACCGGTTACATTTCGAAGGAGATTGGGAGAGCCTGAGCAAAATTGCACGCTGTAGCAAGGTTTTATGGACTCTGACGCTGTGCTGGGGTTCAGATAGGGATACTGGAATGATAAATAGCTCGAGTAGTATTAGGGCAAATGCCAGATGTTTGCTAGCGCTGAATTAGTTCAAGATGAAGGCAGCGTCAAATAAGTTTTAGAGGCTTTTGTTTTTTCTCAGGAGCAGGTCTGACTGCTTCAAAAGTAAAATACTGGTTTATGACAGTAAAATACTGTTTCATGTATGCTTTTCGTGGGGAGCACAGAATAAAATGTGTCGTTAAGTACAGATCGGGGGGAAATGCCGCAGGGCTATGGAGTGTAGGAACTGCTCCTGCTCTTACCCACTTCTCTTTGAATCGATAGCAGGATGTGTGTAAAGGGCATGAGCTGCTCCTGCTGTGCAGGTAAAATTCAGCTTGTAAGTGTAATGAGCAACCTGCTCTGGAATCTGGTCTCCTGAGATGGGTTAAATGGCAAATTATTTGAGTTCCCTTGAATATATGTTGATTGTACATATGAATATGTGTACACTGATATTTCTTATATATAGGGAGTCATTTTCTGCTTGCTGCTTGCAATACGTAGGAAACGTCTGCTACCTAAAAAGTCATCTTGAAATAACTTGTTTTGAACTGCCTGTAATGAAAACAACATGCCTTGTGTTTAATCCCAGTTACGGCGTTGCATAAGAAGTAAATCCGTGAACGCTGTGTCCCCCCTCTTCCCCTGTCTGAGGTGGTGATAAATCTCTGAGCAAGTTAAGCGCAGGGGTGTCTTCTCTTTCTGAAATAAATGTTATTTTGAACTAGTGTTAAAGGGCACAGCAGGGAGGGAGTTGTAACTATGAAAGTAATTTTGACCAGCTTAAATGGGCTGGTCAGAACTATTTTCTGCTGGTAGACGTGATTGTTTTCAAGAAAAACAGAGAGTACCCCTTCAGCTGTGTCACCTAGACTGTCCACACCACATATAATGCCAATTCTAGGTGTGATTACCCTGATTTTCACTGCAGTTAATGCCTGTAACAGTGCTGTATGAAGTTTGCAACAAGCTGTATTAAAGCATTTAGGTCTGGACTTGTAAAGCTCTTCCTGTCTCGGTGCTGCCGGTTTCATCCAGAGGTTGATGCTTGTGTTGTGCTGAGTTTAATCGGCGGTCTGCCCACCCGGCTGCTGTGCGTTAGGCTGCTGAGTGAATTAGCACTTCTGCTCTTTACAAGAAATTTGAAAATTGGGTTGAGTGATAAAACAATACTAATTCATTAACTTATAGCACACGCCTGACCTCTCTTCATGAATCCTTTTCAATCAATGCAAAAATAGTAATTTAGCCTCTTAGCAATGAATATGCTATGAATTTAATTTTTCCCGTAAGTTGTGGTTTATTCATGTGTATTTGCCTGCCCTGCTTTGTTTTCTCCTGCTTGTATCTTAGCTCCTGTAAATGAAATCTTACCCCGTCTGCTAATCGGCAGCTAGCTGTGTGTGCGACCAGTATTAAAATCAGTATTATGATCTGCTGGCTATTTTATAAATCAGATTGGATATTCCCAGCATTTTTTGTAACGACTGCCTATCCCAAAGCTGTTCTGATGTGTTTATTTTTTTTATTTTTCTCAATGTCTTCTTTGTAATTGCAGGAGGCCCCTGGGATTTTACCTTCAATGTCAAGTTTTATCCACCGGATCCTGCGCAGCTGACGGAGGACATAACCAGGTGAGTTACCTGGGAATCTTGCTGCCAGCTTGCTCAGCAAAGCAGTGAATATGGAATAGAAATTTTTAATATTTGGGTGTTTTTCCATCCTTCAGCAAGGAGATCAGAGGTCTTAACGGTTTGGAGGGGTTTTTGTTTGTTTTTAGTGGGTGTGTGGGATGCTCGTGCACTCCACTGAGGTCCACATGTGTAAAGCAGCGTCATTTATAATCCTGGCACGTGTGTTTGTGTAGAGAAGTAAATTTCTATTTAAAACCAGGATTTTCTGATCGTAAGGGTCCTCTGTTTGCACAGTATACGTGACCTGAAGTCCTCTTGTCCTCCACGCTGCTTACCGTGGGAATACTACCCCATAAGTAAAAATACAAGTTAGAAACATGCATCATGCTGCATTCGTCAGTGATGTAAAAGAAGAGATTCTGTTTCATCCTCAACTTTTAAGCTTTTCTATGCTCTCTTTAAATAATATTTTGCCTTTCCCCCCCGCCCCAGGTATTACTTGTGTCTTCAGCTTAGACAAGACATCACCACGGGGCGGCTACCCTGTTCCTTTGCGACTTTGGCTCTGCTGGGTTCGTACACAGTCCAGTCTGAGTTGGGAGACTACGATCCAGATCTGCACGGCCCAGATTATATCAGTGAATTTAAATTGGCCCCGAACCAGACAAAAGAGCTGGAAGAGAAGGTTGTGGAGCTTCATAAAACATACAGGTAAGGTGCAGCAGCTGGAGGACTTGTTTGTGCACAGCAGCCTGAAATAATGGAAATAATGGGGTTTTCTAGTATTTTTGCCACCTCTATTGCATGCTTTTGGTTTCCTGCTGCACCAGTTTTATGTTGGCAACAGTTTATGTTGGCTTTAACAGTAAGGTGTGACTTTTCAGCTACTGAGAACATCGGCTATTTAAAAAAGATGTAATACCTTATAACAAAATCTTTTTAGAAGCTGGAATTCTTTTTTCCTGTGTGAAGCAAGCAGATGCAAACTCTTGCAGTTGTGTATTAACAGGTTCTCTTTTTCAATAGTATAGCCATGAAAGTGGCTTTTATTTCATGTGAAAATGCAAAGTTTGCTTGTTTTAAACTTACCCTTTGTCTTTTTTTTTTTTTTTTAATATATTTGCTTTATGTGGTTTTTTGATTGCAGTCTGGTTGGAGCAGATCCTGTATCTCTGTGTATACGCTGTAGCCTACAGCATGTTTGAGGGTTTTTGCTGCCACGTTTAATGAGTAACACTTTATAATGCTGAAGTATTCCAGATGATGCAGGAGGTATAGTCCTGCAGTTAGGCTGTCCTCCTTGTGTTCCCCAGCGTGGCCGTGACCTGGGCAGATGTGTCTTGGTTCAGGTAGGGTTGAAGGACTCCTGGGAGTCCCTCTGGTACCAGATTAAAAGGGTCACAGCGACTGAACCTCTTCCTCGTCTTATTTTGAGCTTCTTTTCACAGATGCTCTCGAGCGTGTGGATTGCAGGAGCTGTGGCAGCTTCTGCACCCTCCCAGAGATACGTTTGGGTTTTAAGGGCAAAAAATGCCCATAAAACCACTCCGTAACACCGAGGCCTTCAGCCAGCAGCCCCTTGACCTGTGAAAAGTTGCTGGCTGATGCACTAATAAGGAGAACAGAGCAGAGATGAGACCTTCTTGCAGGCAGACGGGAATTAATAACCTAAGTGCAGTAGGGAAGGGTGGACACGTGCTCCCGGCTGTGACCAAAGCTACAATTAACACCTCGCTCAACCCCGCAAATCAATACTTTAAATTGATTCCCCTCCATTTGCACTGAGAGCAGAGGAAATGAGGGAAAAAAAGTCCGGGGGCCACTGAGAAGCTTTGTGACTTGAAGTCAAAGGCCATGAGCTGTGCTAGAAGTGGCAGATCATGTTGCTGAATTATTCATGGCTTCATTAGGAGGATACTTCAAGGTAGAGGATGTAGTTATATTTAACCTGCTCGTGTGTGCAGGAGGGAGGAAGCAATATGCACCTGATTAATTTCTGGTCCGTACTCTGTGAACGTTGAACCGTCGGAGGGTTTTCACTGGGAAAACTCTGGTAAACCATGCTCCGTCTCTGGCTAATTTATTTGCCAAGTGCAAGGCACGTGGTGGAGGTGGCAACTGCTCCTGGGTCTTTCCTAGAGGATTGTCCTTACAATCGTCTTTGTCTGCCCTGTCTCCCACCACTAAAACATCTATATACATTGAACACAAGACGTATGCGAGCGGTCTGTAAGGAAGACATCAAAGCAGGGAACTAAATGAGATGTATACAGCCAAATACTCTCCCAGCAGAGCTTGTTAGATGTACCTCGTACGCAGAAACAAGGGCACTTGAATAATGTTGATAATAGCCTCCATTATCAGGATGTTTCTGGTAAGCAAAGTTGTGTGGTGTTGCCCCTCCTGCAGACAGGGTACCATCTGTTCCCCGAAAATGTCTCATTCATCTCGTCTGCCCCA